GAGAGAGAGAGAGAGAGAGAGAGAGAGAGAGAGAGAGAGAGAGAGAGAGAGAGCTTGGGGACATTTGGATCCAGACTTGACATTGGACTTCAGACATTTCGAAGAGGGATTATTTGGGACTTGTGACGAGACCTGGTGTTGACGACTTTCCCTTCTCCACCTTCCTCTTCGTCATCTGATCCCCCTCCTCTTCGTCTGTGTATGTCTGGACCTGGCGCCTCTTTCCTGTGTACAGCGCCAGACCCCCTTCACACCTTGTGATGAGCATGATGTATGTTTGGTCTGCGTTGGAATATTGATTGGGCTAGTCATTAGTATTCTAGCATTCTGCTTCGCTATCTTGTACTCCGTGAAAGAGGTCAGTCCCGGTCACGTCAGAACTTGTATCTAAAGTCTTCCCTGCGTTATAAAGCACCATTTTGTATGTATCGGAATGCACATTGCTTGTTGAGATTCCACTTGCACTGCATTGTCCATTCAGTCCTTTTTATCACATTGCGGATCCTCGATTTATATGTACATCGCCCAACTGGGCATGTAACAGTTGGTATCAGACCACCGCACGTGAATCAGGACAACCTGATCTGACACGTGTGCGGGGACTAGGTAGCTGATTAGTCTTGATTGATTGATTAGAGCACACTAGTTAGCCCCCAAAATCACGATTTTGACCTCACTGCCGAAAATCAAAATTTTTTTTCTGTTCTTGGATTTCGTTTTCTCGCTATTTCTGTTGTGGAAAATCGCAATAGCGCAACATCTGAAATTTCCGTTTTCATTTTTCTTCTGAAAATCCGAAATTTCGTTGTTGGAAATTCGGAATATCTTTTTCTCGAAAATTTCGATCTCCTTTTGCAATTTCCTGTTATTTGGAAATTCGGAATATTTTTTTTGAAAGTCGTTTTTCAGAAAACGGTATGGGAAATCCCTCTTGCAGTACCATTTTCCAAACTGCGAATACTCTCATCTGAGTAAATCTGAATACTTGGTATTTCTTTTCGGAAAAAAAATTCTTTTCGCAGTTCTATGATTTTCACTACCTGATAATCATTGGCAGTCTGAAGTTCGAAAATTTGTTCTCATTCAGGGTTGCACCGGCGCCGACCGCCAACCGCGACCGCTGGCCGTTTTGTCGCGACCGATCGGGGCCGACCGGTCGGCGGTCCGCCGACCAGTCAGAAAACAGGCATCCGCTGCTTTTTTTTTTTTTTTTTCTGATTGCGCTGTCGAGCGCATCGCATTCCACAAAAAAAATAAAGGTGGCTCTGACTCAAAACCGCAAGTGCCGCAACTTCAATAGCCAGTGCTTCGTCCACCCACACAGCGATCTCTTCATGCCGCCGGCCCACACATCACTGTCGCGCAATCCCAACCACGCACCAGTGTTAGCCCAACCTCTAGGCCACACTGAAATTCACCTTAACATCCGTGCACCACAAAAAAATATGCGGACCACTGCTTGCTGCGCCGTCAACGGTACTATGTCTCCGTGCGGCATCACCGCCTGATCACACATCACCACAGACAACCGGCTCCACCCCACTCCAAAATTCCGGCAACACAGCCGCCATTGTCAAGCCTCCAAATGGACAGTACCTCCCCTTGACAACGTCGCTGCGGCTGTACCAAACGGCAGCACTTCCTCATTAACAACGTCGCTGCCGCCACAATCCGGCAGCGCTTCCGCGCCACCGCCGTTAAAACTTGTGCAGCCGCGACAAAATTTCGGCAGCGCTTCCGCGCCACTGGCAAAATTTATCCTGCCGCCGCCGTGTAAAACAGGCAGAGCCTCCCCTGCACCGCTTGCCGAAGAGCTGCCACCGCCGTGCCAAACGGGCAGAACCTCCCCTGCACCGCTTGCCGAAGAAGTGCAGCGAACAACAACACCTCCCGCGGGCACCACGCAGCCCGGTGGCTATGGCAGCCTCACCTTTCTTCTCTCACTGCAGACCTCCACTCCACCCCCTTTACTCGCTGGCCCTCAGCACTCTGGCACCACAATGCTGCTCACTACTCCACATTCAATCAGAATGTGGGCAGCACCTCAACTGAGTGAGGATGCTGCTGGCCAGCCTTGCTTTTATAGCTGGGCTGGAGTGGTAGGCAGCCACTTGAGGCTCAGCCAAAAAAACGGGGCTGAGCCTAGCCCTCGATCTGAACTTCGATCGAGGGCTGGGAATCTTGATGTTCCTAGTGGAACATCAAGTTCCTGACTTTGGTTATTCACCTGGCCGTCACCCACGGCCGGGCGCAGTCCAAAATGGCAGAACCAAGCCATTTCAGGACTGCATGCTCAACTTGAACAGATGCAGTCCCATCAGCCCCTAGAAGCTTCTAGGGGCTGCACCTGTTCCATGGCCGCGACCACGTTCGCGGCCGTTACCTTTTCCTCTTTTTTTTCCTTTTTTTCTTTCGTTTCTTTTACCCCCTCCTTTCTTTCTACAGGGGGCAACTCGTTTTCGAAAACGAGCAGCCACCCCCTCTCAAGTCACTTCACAGAGACGAACTAGAGTCAAGCTCAACAGGGTCTTCATTTCCCTGATGCAATAGCCACCCGCACCCGGCCGCAACCAGTGCCAGGTTCAGGTGTTGTTGAGTGTCGCAGCCTGTTCCTGAGGTCGGACAGGCGCAGCCACGACAACACTAAGAACCCCAAAACAAAAACAAAAACAAAATAAGAAGAAAAAAAAAAGGAACAAAAAGAGAGGAAAGAAAAAAGACACTCACTTGTTCGTGGTCACGTCGCAGACGCTCCCCTCCTTGTCGCCGTCGCCAGGTAAGGTCCCTTCTCCCTCTCTCTCTCTCTCTCTCTAACCAGTGTGCAGAGAGTCCCCGTAACTCAGGTACAAGGGTCCCAAAACCTTCAGTCGAACGTAGTCGCGTTCTCGCGGCAGATTCGTTGGATTTTGCTCCTCCTATTGAAAGGAGAAGCAGCCCGTTCGTTGAAAACAAACGGGCACTTACTAATTTCTACTAATAGAAAGAAAAAGAAAATAATAAAATCTAACAAAAATTTAAAGCAAATCTAACAAAAGAAAAAATAAAAAAAGAAAAAGAACAAAACAAAAGAAAAGAAAAACGGCAGCTCGTAAAAACGGGCGCCTGTCACGAGCACTGGGGACTGAAGTGCCCCAAACACTTCACACTGCGCCACATGGCGCTTCACTTTAGTTGTAGTTATAGTTTTTTTTTTTTTTTTTTTTTTTTTTTTTTTT